CCCCAAAACCCCAAAACCCCAAAACCCCATAATGAAGAATTAAACTCTAGAAATAATAATAAAAATAATGATAAAAATCCTAAATATCTAATTGGATAATCAATTTTCTCTCAATTTAGCATAAATAAGAGAAAAATGAGGTCTTTTGTTAGGATCATTTTACCAGCACAATCTAATCAGTTTTGCAATATCCACATCAACAGTATCTGAAATCTACGGTCTAGCATCTTCATTTAAGACGAAATTTTTAGCCAACAGCAAATCATTATCAAATGGCGCTTAATCATGTAATATTTCCCTAAATAATTAATAATCTAGCTATTAATTTACCATAGAATTATCCCAAAACTATAAATATCTACTTCTTTTGAAGGCTCTGTAAATTTAGATGATCTTAAAATTTCTGGTGCTGACCAAACGGATGAGACAGAATAATTAGTCATTAAACTAGCATATTTCTGGAATGGATTGATCTCTATATCTCCAATCAGCACCTATAATCCATTTTCTCTATCGAATTCTATAAATATATTGTGAGAACTCAGATGGCCATGAACTATTTGCGAGCTAGAGTAGTGCAAATAAAACAATATTCTTGATAGTTCTCTAATAAAAGCAATTATCATTTATTAAATACTTTGCAATATGAAACTTGTCCAAAGGTGATAGCTATTTACTCACTTCTCCTTGATGCAGCACTTGAAAGAGAGATTTTCTTCTTTTCATAAAAATGTAAAATATTCCACTATCAAAGTAAATTCCCTCTATTTTAGTAAGGCTACTATGAATTTAGAGCTAACTAAAAATAGTTATTGAAGAGAAAATTTACCTAATTATTGCTTGCTATTCAAGAAAGGCTTCTATTTGAAAATTATTAATTCTTTCTAGCTCAATTACTTTGCACAGCATTTCCTCTCCTCTCAATGTGGCTTTCATTATTTTCCCTAGCTTACCCTTTTATTTTTTAACCATAACTTCAAATAGCACGAAGTCCTTTTTACCAACAAGTAACTTATCCCTAGTTTTAGACAGATCATCTTAATTTATTTTAATAGACTGTTCTTCAAGCACTTGCCTCTACTTGGATATGTCCATAAAACTCTTTCCTCTCTCGAGTTGCAATTAAAATATTTCATCTTAATTATTGATATCCCCTCCCCTTTCAACATCAATGTCCATTATGCTCTATCCTGAATTACTCATGTTTTGCTAAAATCCAATTGTTTACTCTAATAAAGTCTCGCCTTAAAGATTATTTTGATTATCATCCAAGACTTTAAATTCAAGTGTGAAAATTTGCAAGAAGTTAGCCTCCAAAGTGAGAACTATAGGTAGAATCTCAGTCATTAAATATGCCAAGAATGTCAGAATTGCAGTTTTAAGATCATTCTAGTCATTTGAATTCTAATCACTCTAATCATTAGAAACATATTGGTAACCTGATAAAGTGAGTGATGCCTTAGGTATCATGCAGATTGTCCAGATTCCAAAAATAATCGCCAATCTTTTCATTTTTTATGCATAAGTTGGACTTCTAAATGGTGTACCAGAGAAGTAGAAATACAAGTATATTACTACATATCCAAATAAGAAGCAAACTATTCCTTACCAATTATGAGGTATGATCCAACCAGACAAATTGTAATAATAGCAAGTTATCTCTCAAATAAGTCCTTAGAAACATCGCTCATCAGCACCATAATAATAAATAGTATTTACCCAATCAAATACAATGTGATTATTATGGTGACAAATAAGTATGTAAATTTGTGGAACTTTGTTTTATCTATAATTACATAGATTATAACTAAATACTTACCTTGTTATTTTTTGAAAGCAGTGCCTAGCTTTACATGAGTCTTGAATAAGAAATGAATGGTTTAGAGATAGATCAGAGAATATGTAAAAATTATCAATATTCCAGGTATGTAATACAGTAAAACACTAATTGAATATTAAGACAAATTATGTATTTACTCAAATATTTTATTTCCATTGCTCTCAATTCTTGAAGCCACTACAAAGAACAAAATAGTATCAAGCATCAATTAAATGCACAATGATATATAGAATATTTTAGCCAGCCTTGCTTCTGTAGTAAACTTCCTTACATAGTAGATTCTATTTAACCAAAATGAGTATGGAAAATAAATAATATTGGAGATGATGGATATTAAAATACCTAGTTAGTGAATATAAAAATAATAGAGCGTAAATGATGCCGAGTATATAAATGACAGCATTAGTAAAAGTTTAATCAGCCATTGTTAATGATTAAAATTACTACGCAATTAATTACGATTCTAATACAAACCAAATTAGTCATCTGGGGTTTTGGGGTTTTGGGGTTTTGGGG